ACCCAATTTTCATGACTGGCTAAGACACTTTCTGGCGCTACGCACATACAAATGTTGTTAGTGGCAAACCATTCAGGAAGATGAAGACTACTGGCCTTCAATAAACAATAAATACAGAGTTGATTAGTAAACAGTAGCAGATAGTTTAAACATAGGTAAATATTAAAAGCGTGAATGTCAATAATTTCTGCAAAGCATTGCTCAACCAATTTTTTGAACTGACTAGCTATATTGTATAGGCTAGAATATTTCCATAACCGAATTAAAATAAATTAAATCTTGAATAAAAGTTTCGTCTGTTTGAAAAGTAGCTTAACAGAAGTATTTCAAGATTGACAGATATATTCTGTAAACCATCAGAATTTAAACGAAACGAAAGGAACTGGCAGGATTAATGGGTAGAGAGAAAATTCTCAAATTATTCCACAGATGTTTATCTCCCTTATAGAGCATAGCAAGAAGTGTAAAATAATCTGCTCTACAACAAACATACATGTTGATACAACAGTTTTTTTATAAGACTATATTTTAAAAGTTTCTCACTACTTTTTCTCTCATTTAATGCAGCAGTCATCACTTCTCAATTGACGAGTATATATCTTACAATAGTCCTAGAAGAATCTAAGTTAGGCTGATTACCTCTATGAAGTTCACCCGTTCAACAAGTAATACATACAGATATTGAGTAATTTAAGAATCCTTTCAGCTTTAGACTTACTTGACAAATGATAAAGCATTACTCGAATTTTCTAAATTTCAATACAAAAGCACTCATTTAATATATTTAGCAACTTTTAAATAAGAAAATTAATCAGCTGAAGTACTTCATATATTCACTTTAATTTAGAGAGTAACCACACTTTGTATGATATTTAACAGGACTGAAAATCATGATAGGTATACAAAAATATGGTGATGATAACTATAGGCTCTTCATAAGCTTTATAAATAGGGGATATTAAAAAAACGAAAATGTAAATACTACTAATTTATGAGATGAAGGACTTCACATTAACTGAGATTTTTTTATCTCTGAAACTTTCTTATAGATTACAAATAAACCTTATAACCACGTCATTACACTACATTAAATTAGGATAAAGAAGTAAACTGTTAAGAGCTGAATACCTTCGCATGCCCAGGACTTGTTACACTGTTATCATTTTCTGGAGAATATAAACGCCATATTCGAACAATATTGTCTTGACCACCTGTAACGATCAGTACAACAGGAGATGTCAGCCCATGGTCAATACATACATCGATACATCTAGTCCAATCTTGATGCCCAGAAATGGTAGTGCTTAATGTGAAGTTAAGACTTTTAACATTTTCATTCTGACCATTGACCAGATGACCTGACCATATTTCTGTCTGTCCGTTGTCAAGACCAAGAACAATAAAATGAAGCCAAGATACATCAATATTGTCACTGGACGTTTGGAAATTATATTTTATACAAAAACGTCTGAGACACAGACAAAGTGATGGAACTCGTGTGATATTACTGATTAAAATACATGGTAATAAAATTGATTTATTTGTAAGCAGATTCTGTGAAATATGAACAGACCAGTTATGAACTGATGTATCCGCTGCAGCTGATAGAAATAACGTCCCTGAGCACGAGCGATCATTTTCCGATGAAGGGAAAAAGTAACCATCAATTGAATTTATTATGGAGTTATTCGGAGTCTGGAATTTATTAATTATATGCCAGTTTTCTGTTTCATCAGGACAGATTAAACTTTCAGTTGGACAGGCCCAAATTATCACTAGACCACAACTATCAGACGACATTAGAAAACACATAGTGTGTTGATAAACTTGTGATGAACCATTGTTATGAAAACAACAGTCCAACCACCGTACACATCTGACATCAGAATTGTGACCAGGTAACGTTTGATAGACACGAAAATTGTCTTGAGAAAAATCTGTATTCAAATTAATCATTTCATCATTTAGATAAGAGTAGGATTTAGCTAAGCATATAAAATGACTAGAACCGAATGCCAATATAGTTTCAAATGTTGACTTATTTGATGACCTGACAGCAATGATAGAACTGCATCCAGAGAAATGATTAATACCAACTGATGTATAGACGCAATGGATTTTAGAGTTGAATGATATTTTTTCTTTACTTGCCGAGTCCATTATAGAAGGTAACGTGCTAAGGAGAAAACAAAATCAGAGTTAAGGGAGGTCATAAACATATTTGTCTAAAAATACAAAAGTAGGAAAATTAACTTACTAGTACAGAGTGAAACAATTACTTACAATTCAAGCTTATATCATCTAGTTATCGTAGTGTCGTGAACGAGAACACAAGTGGGGGCAATCAACTGTATTTCAACACAAAATTACAGAACGTCTTAGTAAAATCTGAGAACCATACAGTAAATACTTAATTTGTAAAATGTCAATCATTCGTTTCAGACTTCACTGTTCTATCATTCTTTGTTCTCGTTCTCTTTTCTTCAATCTTCTTAAATTTCTGCCTCCAGTCATTTCACTCTCGATTGATAATACATTACACTTATACGTGTCGACATCAGTAGCACACACCAGAGTAGTACAGATGATTATTCAAGTTAAAACAGATTAACTATTTCTTCTTAATTGGTCAGTTTATACTTGAAATCGGTACTGAATACACATTAGGAACAAAAGAAAACAAATCAGCACAATAATTAGTCAAAATCCAAGTTAATGAAAAAAAACTAGAAATTGTGAATATAGTTCAAAGAGAAAAGACAAGAGTGTGTTTATGGAAGAACACTGAATGTCAACCTTTCGTTGTCAAAGTTACAGAAAACTCAATAAGAGACAATATGGTTGCTGGCAATGTACAACGAAAAGAATGTACATTATTCAGTTGTTCATTCACTGAAGTGCTAACATCTAACTGGCGATTCCTCAATATTTATCGCCAGGACCGACCAAGAAGAAAGAAACGGAAACTTGTTGAAATACTTTGCGCTGAGAATTCTATATTGTACCAAAATTATAATATTGAATAAAGCTAATAATAATAATAATAATAATAATAATAATAATAATAATAATAATAATAATAATAATAATAATAAAATCTTAGCATTGTTTATTCATTTGTTTCACGACACACGAGTAACATCTCGAAAACACCTGTGAACAAGAACGTCCAGGAAAGTGTAAAGAAGAGAATTGGTGCACAGGGTACTCGATACTTCCTTGGTAGATGGAGATCATATCTATACTACAAGTAACCCAAAAAATCAGGTGCGCTTTCTGAATCCGTCCTCCTTACTAACCCACCAGTGTCAACGAAATTTCAATGATAAGTAAAGTGCTCAGTGAGTTCAACTACTTCACCTCAAACGACCGGTCTGGGAGTTGATTCAGACCACTCTGGAGTAAATATTTTGCATTTAAACGGAAAGCAACTATTAAGGAAAACGTCAAGATAACTCTGTATTTCATCAGCGTTATCACTAAAGAGGTATATGTCATCTGCGTGCTCCAGAAGATGAATAGGTCTTTAAAGAGACCATTTCGAGAGGAAGAGCTGACTCTTCCCACCCTTGGCCGTACCAGGGCATTTGGGTGCTGATTAGTTACAGCTTTTAAAGCAAAACTCGATTGTCACTGCTTAAATGGGATTAGTTTGTTACTATTTATTTATTTATTTGAACATAAATATTAGTACAGGAGAGCGCCAATATATATGCGCCACACAAAACAATGAGAATTCGAAGAGAAAAAAGGTAAGGAGCGTAAAAAAAGAGCACAATCACGGAGAGATTGGTGTAAGGTAGTGGGTTTCGTTCCGATCGAGGATGTATTGACCATATCTTCACCCTCGGCCAAATGTTAGAACACCGCCATACTTATCAAAGGCCAACATTCGTAGTGTTTCTTGACATCAGGGCTGCCTTCGATTCGTTGGATAGGACTGTTCTCTGGGATTGTCTATTGAATAAGGGTGTGCCTGAGAAGTTTATTAACACCCTAAAAGCCCCATATACAAATACCTCAGGCAGAGTGAGGGCATACAACCACCTTTCTCCATTGTTCCATTTACGAATTGGAGTTAGACAGGGTTGCCCAATCTCATTATTCCTCTTCAACTTTGCCATCGATGACATTCTGGAAACAGCCCTGATGGATGTAAGTAATGGCGGTGTGGATATGTTGCCTGGAGAAAAACTTCTCGATCTTGAGTATGCGGATGATATTGTCTTACTGTGCGATAATGCCCAAGGCATGTAATCCTCACTTTATGAGTTGGCAATTAATGTCCATAGGTACGGTATGTGCTTTGCACCTTCGAAGTGCAAAGTACTTCTACAAGATTGGCAGGATTCTAATCCTGTACTCACCCTGGGTGGTGAGCAGATAGAAGTAGTCGAGAAGTTCGTGTATCTAGGTAGCTGCATAAGTGCTGGTGGGGGTGTGAGTGATGAGATCGATTCACGTATAATGAAAGCCAGAGCGGCTTATGCCAATCTGGGCCATCTTTGGCGCCTTCGTGATGTTAGTCTGGCTGTAAAAGGTCGGATCTACAACGCGTCGGTGAGAGCAGTTTTACTCTATGCTTGTGAAACCTGGCCTCTCCGAGTTGAGGACGTTAGACGACTCTCTATGTTCGATCATTGTTGTCTCCGAAGGATCGCTGACATCCAGTGGCAACATCATGTCAGTAATGCAGAGGTTCGGCATCGTGTGTTCGGGCACAGAGATGATAACTCAATTGGTGTCACCATCTTGAAACACCGACTTCGGTGGCTTGGACATGTTCTCCGAATGTCGTCCCAGAGAATTCCACGTCGTGCATTATTTGCCGACTCTGGGACTGGTTGGAAGAAGCGGAGAGGTGGTCAGTGCATGACATGGTGTCGTGGGATGAAACAAAGCCACACAGGACTGGCATCTGCTAGTCCTTCACGACCCTCCGGTTGGGGTCCGAGAGATGGTGCGACACAGTGGCAAGAGACGTCATCAGACATGACTCAGAATAGAAGCCAGTGGTGATCCTGTTGTAACTTTCTTTATAAAAAATGGACGCAACTTCTTTAACTGGAAGAATTCTTTCTGGCTGTACCTTTGCTAACTTAATTGTCTCATTATTATTATTATTTCACTATTATACACTAATTTCTGTTCGTTATTGTCCCCCTTTTTCTTATACGCATCTTACATTATCTCTCTCTTCAAAATTCTCATTGTTATTGCGTGGTGCGTATGTGTGTTTGGTGACCCTTTGTACCAACATTTATGTGTTCAAATAAACGAAAGATAACCAACAGACAATTACTTACTCCTTCCTTTCTTTCTCAAAATTACGGTCAGTTGAAAAACTTTGTTGACTATGTTCTAAGTTCGATCACATTTTTATGAGGTAATAACAATCGTTTACATATATTACGTAATTTTACAACTGATAGATAAATGTAGTAGAAAGCTAATACCACGGTCCGACTGAGTACCAAATCATGCATACTCTTTAGGTTAATACAGTTTATCAAAGTAATTATAGCAAGCATTTTATTACCAACTCGATAAACTCTGTTATTAGACAAATAAAAGTCAAACTAAGGGAGGATAAGGCAATTGTCTCGTTTGATATCGTGGCCTGCCTTACATCGAGGATATGTAAGATAGTTAAAAAGGCTATCTTAAACATGGTTTACGACGAATTAACAACATTCTAACCTGAAGATTACTTTATTATAAGGTTGCAATGATGACGAAATAAAACATCAGCTTAGAAGAGAATATATTTCGACTCTTAGTTGTCCTACATCAGAGAAAGGAACAAATACTCATCTCGACAGTGTGGCATTTCATTGTATACGACATCCTTTAAGGTCAAAGGATAACTCGAAGTCTAGATTGAAGTACCGAGCCGGTGATAACGGTCAGTTGCGTGTTTAAACTGTGATCTAAAGTTCACATAAATAAATTATACAACATTTGTCCACAAATTTTGATGACTTGTTTTTTCAGCTGGATACACCTGCATTTTAATGAATATTTAGTGTCCACTACCCCGTTGAATCATGACAGCCATATATGTACAGCCCATACTGCTTATCAATATAATCCGACGTTTCTTGCTTTTGGCTGACAAGATTGCGCTAAACACAATATAATATGTTAGTTAATTAATATCACCATACAATACAAACAAACAAAGTATGTAAGAAAACTATTTGAACAAAACACATTTAACTATAATCTTTTACAGTGGAAATTACACAGGAACCTTTGCAGTTAAAAAAATAATGAACAGTGAGAAAAACTGTGAAGGCAATACGAATAAAGTAAATTTCCATCAGAAATTACACCACTAAATAAAGATATTGAACTGAGAGACAAAATATATCCTAACTAGAATGTATAACAAAGTATACGGATGATAAGAAGAAAACTCTATGCAAAGAAGAAAAATAGAAACAAGCACATAATGTTAAGTGAAAACTGTTATAACGGTATGAAAGAAAAGATTATTACTTTTTGAATAAAACAAAAAAATTCTGGACAAAATGCAAAATTATGATACATTAAAGCAAGAGATAATGCAACATGGAGTATTATTACTCAGCACCACTATCTGCATGTGTTGGGTCTGATTCAGATATCCACTTTTTCAAATATTGCCCTAAAAGATCACGTATTCTTTTGATACCTCCAGGTCGGAGCCATCCATCTACTGGGTCAATTTCAGTTCGCTCAGGTACTTCTTCTAACATCGCTTGTACCTCAGGAATTTCTATATCCGAGAGACAATAACGGACTTGATGTGTAGTTGGCCAGTTATTAGGTCCAAAACGATAATCTGCAACCTAAATAACAGTAATTTTAAAGAACAAATAAGGTTATAACTCCACATGATGTAGCAAGAGTTTTTACGAGAAAAAGAGAAATCTATGGTGAACAATAGACAATGGGTAGTCACGGGAGGATGGTCAATTACTTTGTCTTACCAAAGCCAATATTTAACAGGCGAAATCCAATGACTCCAACTTCTTATAAGATGGGATACTCTAGTTCATTTTGCGATCCCTTTAAATTATGAAAAGGATGTCTGTATCAGAATACCTCTGATTCAAATACAGATCTTCATTAGAATTGGCTGTAAGATATTATTGTGAATACTGTTGATCTTACCGCTACAGTATAAAATGGCTGGTAATTTCGTTATCTATACATAGTTTTCAGGTAGACCTAGAAATCAGCTTATGAATTAATACTGTTCCACCAAACATTCAATTATTAGGGATTGTGCAGATCACATTTCATAGTTCACTTGATTTCTGTTGATAATGAGAAGACCCAATTTAATGCACAGAAAATACATGTTAGATGAACAGTAACAAAAATACCTATTAAGATGAAAATATATGTAATCTGACAAAGCCGTCCATAGTTTAAACATGAAATCCAAGTAATAGGTCTCATTGCTAGCCATTACCAAAGCAAACAGTTATGAAGTAAACTCCGACACATTAAAATGTATGTACATTAGAAACAGTATGATTACAACTAAATATTATTGATTCATCGGCAGCAGAACATACTTTTTCAAACTTTCTCAACCTTACAACTAGTCTGCACCATTTTGAAGAATCTCATAAGAAAATTGGCGTTTTCCAAACCCCATATGGTTGGTAGTGAAATTGAGGGAGTGGGTAGGATAGTCCCTAAAATCTTGGTTAAATAAAAATTGTAGCAGGTACCTCTCCAAACGAAATATAGACGGTCAAATAACATCAATCCAAAGAATAGTAATCACATGTTAAAGCCTAATAAAATATTCGCTAACTAAAAAAATCCAACAACTACAAATGTAATACTACAAGTGAAAAGGAAAGACTGACATCAATAGCGTCTAAAATATCTACATGTATAAAAGTAAAAATGTAGATTTCGAAGTATACTTCAAACCTTAGTACAATAAAACAATAATAAGTGAAATGCATAGGATTTCGAGCTCTAATAGTTCCCAGTAATTTTAAATTGAATTCCTTATGTTAATCCGAGCATCCGCATGTTATTAACTAACCTTCACACAAAGTATGACTTAAAACAAACGATATCAATATGCCTTTAGTAAATGAGTTACATCATTAACGTTAAAAAACTGTGCTAAGCAAAGGAAAATGGAAAACCATATTGTATACTCAAGTGTCCCTCCTAAAAGAAACATTCAAGAAAAATATGAAACACACCTTGCCTAAATTTTTTTGTATTCTGTCATCACCATCGTCATCCTCAGCATCATCAATAATAGTCGGATCTAATTCATCATTTCCATCGTAGTCGATATTATCTTCTTGAGATTTCTTCGAGCTATTCAAAAGTTCGTCCCAGAAACTATCCTCCCTGGAATGTACTGATTCATAAGATTTACGACAATCCGCTAAGACTCGTTTATTGGCATCCGTGCATAGCATACGTTTCCTCGATGAAGAATGACATAATAATTTACGTACAACCATATAAGCTTGTACTCGAAAATCAATTACCTAAAATAAGCAATATATGTTTGCAAGATACACAGTTAGTCTAACTGGTTAAACCAGGTAGGTATTTACAAAACGTGAACCTTATTTCATATAACTAAAGGGTCAAACAGAAATAGATGGTGTATCAAAATCGTAGAAAAAATTCGTATCTTGGACGGATACTTTTGATGGTGTTGTGGTCCATAACCAGGATGGTTTGACTAAAAAGACATCACTAATATCCTGAACAATATTTTAAAGTTTTACAAGCGTAATGAAATTCCGTTTATTTGGAAGTGAGAGGACTTCCACATAAAGATCTCTCCCACCATAAAACAACTAACTTGTCTCGTGAAGTGTATTCACTAGCAAGCTGTGGAAATCTATGTCAGATCTTCATCATTAATCAAATGCTCAAAAGGAGGAAAGTGAATGAGCAATGTGGAAGATAGATCTGAACAGCTGATACAAAAACAACCTTAGATCACTAGAAATATCTAACTAAATACTACCACGTATTAAGTGACATATATCTACCTTCATACTATGATAGACAATGATCCGATCTGAACAACTACATCATATATAACAGTATCAAAATGACAGAGTCATAATAAAGAAGCAGAAATCAAAACCACCATTTAGGCAAACCCGGTACATTATTTTGATGTAAGGCCAAAGTTATGTAAGTTACAGTAAAGAGCATGAGACAATGAAATGTCAAAGAAAAGTAGTTGCATTAATCATTCCTATCCTACTTTAATTAAGGAGTTACTAAATAACTTCAAAGTCAGTTTAACTGTTACAAGTTACACAAACTTCTTGAGGGAAGATACTAATGATTGAAAAATATCAACCCTAAAATACAATATTCAGTTTAGACCGAACTACGTTTGTGTATGCCATACATGTCCAATTAGCTTACATACTTAACAGTCATGCAATTAAAGTTACAAATAACACCCCAGGCATAAGACAATACTTAAACTGGCAAAACAAAGTATAGTTTACGAAGAAATATACGAATATGTAAATGAAAAATATTTTACTACATAACGCATAAGCATACTTGATAACGGCGAGCTTCGGGATCTTTGCGAGGATCATAACCATACCGGATCCAAGCTCGACTCCATGGTCCACGAATCATATAGTAAGCTACAGAAGGAAGTATCTGAGTAAAATAGACCAATCGAGTATCTCCAGGCATGTGGTAAGCCAATGCTGGACGCAACCAAATCGGTCGCTCATCGAAGAGCTAAGTGAATGAAACATTTATTTATTAGGCAGGATATTTATAGCTCAGCAAAAACAGATTGAATGAATTATCCAAGCATGAAGTTTTAAATTAACTGAATTATTAAATTATAGTTCAGTAATTATGACTGAAGTTTACTTCATAAGCATGAACATAAACAACTTCTTAGAATGAACTTTCAAGATCCCAACGATAAAATCAAATTGCACTGATAGAGAAAACAAAACACAAAACCATACATAAATCATGCTATTAAAGTTAGAAGAATTAATTATCTTAAATTGTATAATTAAAGCTAACATTAACTAAAATTATAAACTGCCCACCTTTGTTTGACTAGTAACTGCTTATAAGCTGGCTAAAATGGAACTAGGTAACAGTAACATAGTGATAAAGTATATTTAACATATTCAAAAACCAAAGATTTCTAGTAAATACAAAGATAACCTCTGTACGAGAGAATATAACAACCTTGATCAACAAAATCCAAATTAAAACAATAAAGCCAAATATAAAACACACTTTTTGAATTTCATCCTTTACTTGAATAGCAGATAGCCCAAGATTTATTACACGTTGTATCGCTCCAGGCCTAGGAGAAGTAGGAGTTACATCATCCAAGTTCACTAGATATCCAAACGTCGGTCGGGCCTTTCTTGCTATAAGCGATAACAAGAAAAATAGCTCACTACAATTAACTAAAAATAAGCATGGATAAAATAGTAGTGAGTAAAAAAATACCAAAAACAAGTGCAAGGTGTACAGACACGGTCAATTTTTCATGTATACATCTAACAACCATCTAATCAAGCTGAATTAAAGAATGTGAAACTTGTGAGTATCGGTTTACATCAATATATAACTTAACAGCGAAGCTTAAGATAGGAAACATCAGTTTATATTAAGGTAAAAGGTTAGAATAAAGTAAATACTAAAAGAATATTTCTAGTCGTATTGTTGTTCAGATTATGCTACCAATAGCTGATATGTTAGTACAAATATACTGATACTCTATGCTCCCACAGAAATGGTTCAGTCACCCAAATTACTTGCACTACAAACTAGTATGGTATTTATTTTAAATTTTGAAATTGATCTTATCGCTGAAAGCCTTAATACAAGGCATTAAACGTCTTTATTATGTTCGAAAATGACCGTTACTTAGACGGCATCATCGTTTGAATATGCTATTTATCTCGTTTTGCAAAGATAGTGTAAACGTATTTGTACATAATGGTTGTTAAACAGTCATTTACTTCTATGTTTTCTATATATTCTCTGCTGATGACTTAACTTTAGACTAGCTGGAAGTGAATGTAGAAGATATGAACCGAAGTGGATAAGGATTCCAACTTGTGGATTTATGTTTAAAAGCTAAATATCTTTGGGTAAAACCATCAACATTAAAAATGAAAAGAAATAAAACTGTTTATGTCTATTGTTCCAAGAAGTATGATCTGGAAGTATTTGGGAGCTATCAATTCGTAACAAAAACGTTTGGTGACTAGATTAGGTATTACCAACGGTTTCTAACTTGACCTCGAAAGTATCTCGTTAGTCATCAATCCGTATGTTTCATCTGCTTGATTCATTCAGTTAATAATAAAACAATAGCACAATCTACTGTTGTGAGATTTTCGATTACAGAATAAAATTGGTGACCAAGTGTTAACAAAAAATATATCACATGATCGAGTCTGAAGTTTGTTGGTAATTATTGGGGTGCTGAATAATTTGCAGAAAATTTTACATTGTAAACTGTGAACTGTAGAGATTGAAACCATAATTATTTTTTAAAAAAGCGGATTATGAATGAAACGATAAACAGATGGAAAAAGGTAAAAAACATCACTGGAAACATCCCAATAATTACAAGAGGAAATATAAAATATTCAGTATGGAAGGCCTAGCGATAATTAAAAGATTAGGAGCCTATCCAATATACACGGTGTAACGATTCACAAGATTCTGAGAACTATAGATTATTCATGGCTTAGAAAACGGACTCAATTACCATAGTTTCTGCACAATGAGTTACAAAAAGGGTATTGTACGAATCCTTTTTGACCGCGCTCGCAAAATTTGTTCAAAGGAATGCCTTGATGACGAAATTACTCTCATCACCAATGTTCTACGTGAAAATGCATACCCATTGAAATCCATCCAGAAATATGCAAAAACCAATCCTCGGACAAAGTACGATGGAGTAGAAAAGAAAACTTGCTTCTTACATTTACGTTTCAAAGGAGGTGAAATTGCCTGATTAATTAATCACAGATTAATTTCTGCGTTGAAAGTGGCCTACCCAGCAGCAAAACTTACGACAATATGACAAACGAACTGCTCACTTAAACAAACTAAAATCGACAAGTCCTCTTTTCTTAGTAGCTCCAACTGCATTTATCAATTCACATGTACGTGCCAAAGCACATACATTGGAAGAACTGAGAGAAGAGTGCATGTTCCGAAGAACCTGAGGCTGCGAGAGACCAAGGCTCTAAACAGTGTAATAGCTCGGCATTTACTTGATGCCGGGCATACCGTCGACATTTTGCACGCTTTTAAAATTACCAATAGACAAAGAAGTAGGACTACTCTCCGTTTATGAATACAGTGGTCTTGAGTGCTGTTAGAGCCATGTTGGTAGATGCAGACTACTTGGTTGGGGTCCGCGTGACTATCGTAATCAATGGTTGGAGACTCTTGGTGACATGGCTCAGAATTGGTCACAATGGCGTCGGTGTATACACTCTCTGTCTTCTCTTAAACTAAGAGATTAAAACTGCTTCATATCTTTCTTTCTACGAACTAATTCTTTCTTCCTGTACTATATCCTTATTTCAATCTTTCCTTTATATATTACCACCTCTGAATTAACCACTTATATGAATCCGGTGTTCATCTTGTTGTGTTAATGAGGTATGGCAACTTGGACCGATGCATATATGTGCCTGGTCCTATTTTGTAGCTGACTGACTCTCCGTTTCGCTGAAGCGATTGCGATAAAAAAAACTTAAACCGGATTTATGCATTCAAAAAGAGACTTTAATAAACTTATCATTACCCTGGTAATCCTTGTTTTTGTTTTTTGGTTATTTGGGTTATTTTATTCATTTATTTATTTTAAAATATTTATTGTGTGTTATACTCCTTCCCTATTACCTAATTCTTAAACCAACTTTTTATTCACACATTTCCACCACCTGATCCTCTTAAATTATGTTGACTTTTCAGATTCTATTTAATTATAATTACGTAACCCATCTTATCATTATTCAATTCCATTATTCTCTAAAATTATCACACAATTTATGAACTTCACCAAACTATTGCACCACCCACCCTGAATTAATCCCTTTTTTAACCTCTGACCTGTTCTAGCATATATATATATATATATATATATATATAGTTATTATTGTAATCCAGTTATTTACACTCATGTCAATTGTTTCACACTATATCAGTGATAAAAAAAATTCTATCACATTTTTGGTTTGTAAGCAGCTGACGAGAAACCTTGAAATATTATGAATTCATATTATTCTGCATCAATGTTTGTTCTTGCTCTATTTAACTTATATGTCTTTGAAAAATATTCATGCAGAACCGAAAAACTTTATCTGACTTACAAACTGGCATTTTATGACTCTTTTCTTCAAGTTGAATGTACTCAGTCGTGCGATAACGAGGGGCAAAATTATAAAAACTTGGAGTATCTTGGCGACTAAATAGGACCGGTGGGAGATACAATGGCATATCACGAGATAAATAAGAATCAATCATTGTTGTTGGATCCTTGATTATGAGATCATTGTAGAATATTTTGTAATTAGGTGGAATGACTTTGGATGCTTCACTTGTATCTGTAGTCGGAACACGCTCAAATGGACCGAACTGAAAATCAGCCATCGCTAAATTATGAAATAAAAAACAGGTTATATGACAAATATGATAAAAGTACCGGAAAATATGTTTGAAAAATCTGGGAACATGGCAAAAGAACAATTATTACATTGCATTCACATATACACTAAGTATTAACCGCATAGAAAACACAAAATAGGGACTAAATTTGCAATGTTGTATTTAAGTTATTTAAAGTTCCTCAAATAATCAATAAAGTTTGTCTATGTTTCAATTAATAACCAAAGTATCAATATTTAAAGTTCTTTATCAATATTCAATGTTTTCAATATAAGATGAGGAAATACAACATTGGTAGTAATCTAGAAGAGGCGCAATTCTTGGAATGTCAAATAGCCATATTTGATAAGCTAAAAAAGAATATCTACTTGAAATAAAAGGAAGCTACGTAAATACTTATCATAATTCTAGCAAAAACCCCCAATAATTCCAATGAAAAATGAAAAATAAAAACATACAACGATGAGAACAGTAAACTTTTAAAGATTTCCAGGAAAATAAGAAATGTACGAATTGGTGTCAGTGTGGAGACATTTAGGGTAGCTATCTAGTTCAAATTCAATCACGGATGTGAAGACGGATTTACAACAATTCCTTCGTACCATCTAGTTCTTATATCTCTAGTATTCCTACATTTTCCTAATTTATTACATTCAACATGTTACTAGTTAGTTTTGTTAAACCACTAAAAAGTGATCAAATGAATTTATACACTATTGTCCGGCTTCACACATTTATTCTACTGATCAACCGCTATTTATCTTATAACCGTCTTTCTTTGTAAGGCAACAACATAAGGAAATTGTATTAAAAATATTAAAAACTACCCCTGGGACAAATTTAAATGATTACCTAAACTGGTAACAGAACGATCAAAAATAAACCTAGCTATCCACAAGACATAGATGGTCAAGGTAGAGAGAGCGGTTGTACGAGCGTCTTTTAAGTATGAAAGTTAGCTTTGTGAATATGGATTCCGATCCATTCTACAGTATGCAAGCGACGGGCTCGTAAATGTTATATCCAACAGCCCATCAATTATCACGTCACAAGACTGCCAATCAGAACAGCGACTAATACGACCTTGGCCCCGTGCCAAACAAATGACACGTTAACGAGCATGAGCAGGCTACAGTCAGCTCTAAGTCCCTATTGGTTCCTCTTATCTAGCTCTGCCCATTGAGTTCAAAACACAATCTCAGTTTCCACTGCAGTTAATATACAAGCAAACCAGACCCCGTCACACCATAAAATAGAAAATAACAATTATACAAGATCAAGCCAAAAGTAGCTGAGTGTGAGAGACTGTAACTAATAAATCAGGAATAAGTTAAGAATGGTAAATTGTATTCTAATAGCCAATAGATCAAATGAAAGGAATGTATATAGTCTGGTTACTTAATAATATCCAATAAGAATATACATAACAACAGTTCATAAATAATTCCTAGCAGTCACCATTCCTTTATTCTTCGTCAGGACATAACAATAAACTATACGGAAAAATTGATGGAACAAGCTGGATAATTTTAAGAGCTTTATCCAAGTCAACTTTGTGTCTTGTGATAACCAAATGGGAGAATATGACTCGTAATCACTCCTACCTATCTTTTTCTCGATCAAGATTGACGGTGTTCTAGTATGCGATGACGGACTCTCCGAAATGTGCGCCCTATATGATCAGATCAATAGGAGTAAGAAAATAATGCAAGTCAGTAACTTAACAACACTACGAATCATACGATTTGAGCACGAACAATGGTCAGGGGGGAGTTAAAATTTATGGTAAACTGATTGGACTTTGTACTATGATACCACCAACGTACAACAAAAGTTCACACCACTGATTCAATTAACAAGCACTTAAAGCAATATCCATACCATCGAATTTATAAACCCGAGTTACGCGTCCCAGAATAACAGGAACTAATTTGAGCTCGCCTGTTACCTTGTTCCTGAGACGTTGAATACGTATGATAAATGAGTTGGACGAACGACCATCTCCACAAGCAGGCTTTGAATACACCATATGCGGACGAAAAGAGAGATTTAAACGACGTTTTTCGTCAGCGAATACCTAAAAAATAGAAAAACAATATTCTACATATAGCCATAAAACAGACACAACAGAGTAGTGTTGTTAGAAAACCAAAGACAAAATAAAAACAAAGTGTTAAATATTAAAATCAAAGTAATATCAATAGACAAGTAGCAAATGAATAGAGCATTGAAATGCCATGATGTAGAGATACAGAACGGAATCTATCCATGTCATCAAAATTAACTTCGAAACACCTAAAATCTTCCTGTTCTGTAAGACCAATACATAAACAGAGCAATGTTTATTATTTATTTATTTAAACACATAAACATTGGTACAAGGAGGCACCAAAGAGATATGCGCCACGTAGATCATTCGATTTGTGTGAGGGCTTAGATACTGCCCGGGTGCCTAGACCGAAGCAGGTGGTTTTCTTAAGGGGCCACACCCCGAGCCTTTGACCTAAAGGTCTAACCCATAAGGCAGTGGAGCATCGTGAGGAGATGCAGTCCCATGGTAGCCGGTGGCCAACGATTGGTTCATACGCCATTTGTTCCCGCAGGATACTGGAGCCCATGTGCACCATTGGTTTGGACATTTGCTTTTCGTCCTCTCAATTTCGTAAACAACACCCGTGGTGAGAGAAGGCAGTGAGTAGGACTTCCCTGGCAGAGGCTGTATACGCGTGGCCGCGTGAGAGCATTTCGAGAGGGAGGGCGGGCCCACACCACTCTTGGCTATACCAGGGCATTAAGGGGCGAACAGAATAATGTACGTCTGAAAGTGCAAATAATTTAGAAATTCGGGGAAAAAATCAGCTTCCCATGCAGTTAGATTATAGGAAACAAATAAATCAACTGTAAATCGTTTTCTAGGTAATGGACATCAACCTAACATGAACTGGTGGGAACCGGAAGTAACTCGTTAACAGTTATGCAAAAGCGTACATGCAGAATTAGAAGCCGTTGTGTAGGAAAGTGAAAATGGCCATTTAGAGTGCAAAACTATAAACTAGTATTATTCGCGAAACTGCTCCCGTGTATATCAGATACTTTATGCCTTCAGAAGATGTATGATTAAGGAAATAATAAGGGATTGAAAAAGTAACATTTATCAAACAGGTCACTAACGCTGTGCTATTCTTAATACTAGTATAATAAATTAGTTTTATAAAATTATTATGTACGGACGGTTAATAGCATAAGTACGATATTTGAATTTTACCACATTGAGGATGATGAAATAGCATCACCGCTGTGTGGACATTGCCACATAAATAGAATTGCAATGAGGGATTTTAAGTGAAATGCGGAGACAACAAAATGTCTTTTAAGAGCAAGTACCGTTTTTGATTATACCAATCATCCGTTTTTAAGTGCATATTAATGACGTGGAACCTAAAGGTAAAGACTCGTCAATCAGGACATATGACACTAGACAGCAGCTATTTCTTGGCAGCTAAAATAACGGACGACTTGAAAGAGGCAGCGTGAATCACTGTAATTAGACTAAGACATAAACAGCGAAAACTCCGTTGCGAAAACTTTGATTTGTAAATGTGTTTGGTTCCCAACCCTGAAAATAAAACGTTAGCTGAAGACAACACAGATCTTATAGACAATAGACCAATAGTACACATGACAAATGAGAAACAAATACGACTATTTAGAGTATGATCACGAAAGATTATTCTTAGCTAACAAATCGTGGACAAAGTAAAGCATCCTATATGCTGCGATATTAACAGAATTTTAATTGGTGACAGTTATTATGTGTAAGTGACTTCATGTTGAACGCATTACGAACATAAACTTGTCACCAATGCAATTAACAACCATAACGAAATTGAGATGAGCATTTAAATTGAAAAATACTGCGGACACAGTAACAGTATTATCTAGAATATAACATACCTCAGATATTTGACTAAGTCCACCAAGCATTTCAATAGCAGTCTCTACATTATTTACCACTGCCGGGAACTCAACACCATAGAATGTATGACTTGGAAATGTTAAATCCATTTAAATTCAGGATCGTCAAAGTAGTCAATAAGCGCTTGACCAGGGATTTAATATGTAAGCTAATGCCAGATACTGTAACGATGACATCTGTTCCGAAAATATATTGAATGTGATCTGAAGGTACAGTAAGTGGTTCCAAGAATAAAGTATGGCTTGAAAGCTTTGAAAACAAGTGTTTTATTTATTATTTAGAATACTAAAGAATGGAAAAAGAAACAGCTCCCTAACTTGACAGGAAAAATGAGAACATGCCGAGCGTGACCTTGAGCTACCAGATTGCCCTCCAGTGCTTCAAATCTGTAACAGGATTAGATCAAAATAGAGAGATGACTGCTTCTTAAAAGCAATTTTTGAGTAATAGAAAATGTTTTACGGCACTGAAATAAGTTTTCAAGTTGCGAGTATTCGACTATTCGATCATTTGTTGCACTGGCTTAAATAAAATTTGTTTATTTGATAGCAGTTGAAACCAATATATTCATGTCTTTCTGCCTGAGATTCGTGATCTGTGTGCACCATGATATTAGTGGTCATTTTCATATAATAACTCAGACTCAATACCCTTAGCTCCGGAAGCTCACGATTCCCAGGTACCCAACTTCGATCATTACGGTCAGCAGCAAAAGTATTTAAACACTTAAGAACTGTTTCGGAGTGTAACGGACTCATTAATAAGTTGAATATCCCTAAAAATTTGTGAACAGTCTAAATATAGTGGAAACTGGAAACACAGTACACTCGTTGATGAGCTGATGCATACTGTATTAAGTAGTTGCTTGGGAACGGAATATTCTGGTGTTCGAATCTATACGACTGTGATTTTAACAGACTCCTTAAATAGCCTGATAGGTACTTTAAATCGACCTCTTTGTATCATTATCTGACAAAATTATCACAGTTTACACCAGGTACACAACACATTTCAGATGAAAGAAATTACCAACCACATCAAATAAAATAACTGTAAACGGATGCAGTTTTGAAGAATCCAAAAAATAATGTACCAGTAATAAGTTGTTTTGATATAGCAGAATCACAAAAATTCTGCAGGTATGATCGATATACTTTTTATGCTCCAGACAGTGTCAGGGAAAAATTAGTTAAGTGCTTAACCACAGTAATCTTCAACACGAGACAAAAGACCTAATCGCTCTTTTTCCGGGCTCTGTTAACAAACGTCACCTGCTGATTTTCGCATGCCAAAAGTTCACTTGTCCTCGTCCTGTTCTATTCATAGATCATCGAGTGTCAATTCAAATGAAGGAAGATACAAATACTTTAGTTGGCTTTTGTTAGATTATTTGATTAGGTTTGGTTCATTCATGAAGTTCATCAATTCAGTTTCAGGCTGATAAAAACGGATGAGCAAATTTGAATGTTTTATTTCAGGAATTTGTAATAATCGTATACTGACGCAGAGGAAAACATTATTGTTCACGAACATCATTTTCTTCGCAGCATGGAAATCCAGTCATCTGTAATTTATTACATATATCCTCCTTAAGCTTATCATGCGTCTGTCCGGCTCTGTATTGGGTACAGACTCTGTATGATCAAGAATGTGCTCATATCTACGCGAATCAACGATGGACGTTGGAACCGACTTGTCAGACTCTTAGAACAGTATCTGCCCAAGATATCGGCTGCGCGCTTATATAATTAGCACCTGAGATTTGAATCTGAATGCTTCGTGTTCGGACGGAGAATCCTTTCCTTTATAAATTTGTTGTGAAGTCTCTTTCATTACGAATGCCTAGCTTTTCTAAGTTGCGGCAGAAACGTGTTTACGTCCCTATTCAGTTCATCAAGTATTTAAGCAGCAATGGAATAAATAGCAATTTTTAATGTCTTGACGAAATTTTCTGTCTGATCATTAGAACATGGGTGTCTGTAAGCAGTGAACAGATTTCTGAACCGTTTATCATTCAATCGGGTAGTAACTATGTTTTAAGCGAAATCAGAGCCATTATCAGTCACTAATACCTTCGGTGCCCCTTCCTGACACAAACTTCTCTGAACACTCAGATTGCTGGGTCGTAATTCGGTGAAATTGTGAAAAAAGAATCACTAATAACAAGTCCATGATATTTGATGACAAACGGATCACAATAGTCTACATGAATTCACTGCCAGGCGATACTAGCCATGGAGCACACCTCGAACGATGATCTTTCGGCTTATATCACCTTTTACAATTGTTTGCTGCATGACGTGTATCTGGTACTATTTTCAGCCACAAACACGTAAGACTTGCCAGAGATTTGATTTTCTCAGAACCCAAAAGATCTTCATGCACAGATTTACGTAGTGAAGGAGAAACAACAACACGATCATTTGAAAACAAAACACAATCAGGAGTAGTGGATAACTCATACCACTTTGAGAATAGATTAAAATTCAACTTTTCAGACTAGCATTCTAATCTTTTCGTATAGCACTGAGCAGACATCCAAAGTATCGGCGAGTTGCTCTGATGGGATCTGGACGTCCCACTGGTTAGCGTGGCACTAATAAACAGTCTGGAGTATTGACAGACTTGTCTTGTAGTGATTGTCGAGATGTATAGTTCGCGTGCTGAATTTGTTTGGCTGAATTTGTCAGTCGAGCTAGTCACTTCATATCTAGTTTAAAACCGTCAAACAGGTATCCAAGATATTCAAAACTAGGAAGACAAAATGAACACGTATTTGGATTCGTCGCAATAGACGAGGAAATAAAGTAATAAGTCTCTGATAATGAGCTGCCTTATCAGGACCATTAATAAGAAGATCATCCTGATAAACTTCAACACAATTAGTTTCATTGGCTCCATCATTTATCATTTCCTGTAATATGTTAGGAGAACAACGTAAACCAGATGTTTCTGGATAAAGTAAAGGAGTGTTAATTGTTCTTAAATATATAAAGATTTCCCTGAGAGGATTTGAAAATAAGCTTCTTATAAGCCGATTTTCAAGTATGCCTTAGAACCGTGAGGTCGACTGGAATAAACCTTGGCTCCCACCTTCATGTATATTTGTAGAATTATGATCTACTATGTTATTAGTACTGCTCTAATAATAGACCTAATCCTAAACTTGTCGATTTGTCATGATATAACTGCCTAATCTATAAGATCTTACGTGGAAGTCACACCATCGACTACACCAACTCACTGTATCGTATCAATTACCAATACATGATGAGGAAGAAGGTTAGGCTGGAGAAAGAACAATATATTTAATATGAATAGAGACCACGCCTGCATGGCCGAGCCATGCCACTCGATCAACTCCAAACCATTCAATTCATTGTTCGCGCCTTCTCCATTGTTAGGTCTTTCTCCGCGTTAAATATTGAATATCTATTTTCTGAGTAGTCTCGTGTTCACAGCTTTGTGGATTGTGTGGCTATTGTCCAATGCCACTACACTACTCTCCCACCAGAATCAACGTGATGTTGGTTCGATACCAAATTGGATGGGATCGTCGTGCGCCGAAGGTTACCAAGACTAGGAAGAATCCCCCGGGTAATGATAAGCTGAAAGATAAATCAAAAAGAAAGGCGGCAGCATCTGGTCGGGAAATACATGTAATAATTTTTTTTAAATCTGCCTTCATGCTTAACACACTTAAAATGACAATTTGAGTGAAGATTATTTGAGCTATATCTATGGGATTACAATAATAATAATAATAAAACGATGCGTGTTAATAAATTAACTTATAGGCAGTAATTGTTTTGTGTTTAGAAATATTAAAATAATGAATATTGTAGAAATGTTAATATTGGTATTAGTTTTGGTTTAAATTATGAAATCGGATAACGATTATGCCGGTAAGTTGTCCATAAGAGTTGATTTCCAATTGCATCTGTATCAGTAGGCTAACTGAAGGAACAAAAGTATTACCATGGTAAAGAATTCCAACTAGTGTTCCAGTTAGTTTGATACGGTTTATTTAGTTACGGGGAGATTTTCTCAACCTCATTTTTACTTGACCGTGATAGAATTTGGTAATACTACTAATACACATGAATGGTTACCAAAATAAAATTTAAATACGTGAGTGATGATTATATGAATTTTGGACAGATAGCTAGGAACAAATCGTTAAACATGAGCGTATTCGTAAGAGACATGCTCTAGACTCAATGTTCTGATCTGTGGCAGACTATTTACTTGTATTTATACTTGCCGGCTGATTGGACATACAAGTTAGTTGCAAGTATGCAGTTTATCATAAAGCGGAACACGATTTAATTGAGATATAGTGGTTACAAGTTATTAAAATCAGTTAGACCTGTGTCATATTACGAAGTGATGTGGTGCTGCAAAATGTATTTAGCTAAATAAGTTTTTACAAGATGATTAATAGTGAGTGATGCTCATATGATTATCAGGAAGAACACAAGTTGTAACCAAGGGGAGTACACTCCCAACTCACGTCTATGATAATGGCTTGAACCTTAGTCAGTGTTGGGGTAAATTCGACATTGATGTTTTCAGTTTGCAGGAGATTTGCTCGACTGCTTATACTGATTATTTGCATGCATGATTGTGTCGCTAAACCTCCAATTAGACTGACAAGGTTTTGAGATATTTACTGAATGAGCAACTGATAGAGAAACATACTGTAATCATCCGTAGTGAATGAAGATACCAAGAAAACAACACTAGTGATAATTGTAAGTCAATTTGCTGACCGATTTTGTTAATAGTTTCATTAATTTTATCAGTCATATTACGTGATTGTCAAGTCATGACAATGCTTTATGACGATATCCTGAAACTATTAAATTTAACTAGTTATAGTGTTGATTAAGGATTAGTCAGTGGAAAAATAGGTATTGTTGCTTTAGGTGATTCAAAATCATCAGATATTTATAACGTTAAAGAATCCGAGACGCCTAATTTAATTATAAATTTCAATTCAGAAATATTCGTTTAGTGTTCATTCTAGTAGGCTACTGAGTTTTGATTTTAAACGTTTGTTTAGCCAACAGCTACTTGGGGATTTAGTTATTTCACTAGTGCAGTTGATAGTACCTAAATTTTTAATCTTATTATCTAAACTATGTTCGCATTTTAGGCTGCTAATATGATAAACTAATCCATAAACCCAAATACGATTAGCAACAACGACTATGATGGGTTTATTGATAAATGTTAAAGGCGATTCAGATGATTTCTAAATTTAGAAGACATGGAGATATAGTGTAACGTATGTATGGGCCAGGTTAACATGCAGGTTGTTGACGTATATGACGATTTAAAAATAATGAACATGACCAGAAAATAGTTTTAAAGTTTAGACTGCTTG